TTCGCTGGGTAATTGTCGCTGGGTATGATATACCATGTCAGAGATGGATTCTAAGTTATGAAGTTGATTCATATCAGCTTCGTATCAGCTGTACACTACGGTGTTATCTCTTACTATTAATGTGATCCGAGGTAAAAATAAATTTTATGACAATAAAGCTTTAAATTCATATAAATTCATATAAATGGGTCCGATTTTGTTTTTGTGTATACAATTGATATTTTATCCGCCAAATCCTAGTTTTTCAAAGTTGGCTGAATATGTATTAAATCAATGATTATCTACTTCGGACCGCCATAAGGAGATATTATTTACAAGAAAACTATACGGTCAATATTGCTTGTGGGATTATTTGTGTATGGTATTTATCTACATCGTATAAAAAAATTAACTCTCTAAATTTTCGACTAATCGAATCTCCTTAATTTTAAATTACAAAATCTTTTTACAGACATATTCTACACTTTAGAGAAGCAAAAAATGTAAAAAAGTCGATTTTTTTACCCTCCAAAGTAGAATCTCTTCTTATTCTTTTTTTTTAAGTTACACATTATTTAAATTCCTTTTACGATATAATTTTTTTTATTCAAGCAAAATTATATTCAACCCATATTTGATGCCTTATTCTTTTTATGATACAATGATTTTTTGTTTAAACAATGCACTTATATTTGATGTTTTATTTCTTTCCTTTTTTTTTAAAGTAATTTTGTATTTTGATTTTACTGATAACTGCAACTTGATTCTAATTTTTTATATAGCGAATCTTTTTCTATATAACGCGTATACTTGGTGTTTTTTTTTCTTTTTTTAAAAAGTCTAATAATATGTTTCCTGATAGTACAGTAAATCGATCTAGATACTATTTATGAACTATTTTAAAATAAAACTATTCACTGCATACTATTGTAAGAACTGGCGCTGCAACAATTATGTTATTTCGATATACGGGGCTTTACTCACGATACGGAAGTGTACACAGTATTTTCTTTTCTCTAAATGATTCCGCATTCTCTTCGCTATATTTATCATTCTTTTGTCTTTGTTTTTCTTCTCAGCAAAAACCAGGAGAAATTATTCTCTCCATTTGCCGAGTTTTACCTCGTTCTTTTCAGACAAATATAATTCACTCTTGTTTCGTCATGTAGGGAATACTGGGACTAGTAGACACACATAAATGTCTGAACATGCAACAATGACTGCCTGTCACTCTGTTCTGATATCTCGCATCTACATCAGAGATTATGTTCGGATGCATCTACATCAGAGATTATGCTACATTTTCAAAAAACGTACACATAAGTAAATATTTGTATTCTTGAAGTTTTGTTTTATAATAAGTTTTGTTTTATAATAATATGTAAATTGAGTTAAATAGATATGATAGATATTTGATTTCTATTTAGATAATAAGACACGATTTTCCATTATCTGGTTAACTTGTGTTAATTTATATAAACTTAATCTGATGTTTCATCCAATGAGCTTCATCCATGACATCATCATAGATGATTGCAAGTAATGAGTTGTTCCATTTCCTAATAAAGTTCAACAGACTATTTTTGTTTATCTATCTTTGTTGTACTGTTAATATTTTTAAAGAATGAACGAATGGGCCTAATAGACTATTCCAGCATAGAGCTATACGATTCATTTAGTTACGACTCTTATAATATTTACTCTCAAAACTTCTTGGAGCAAAATCTCATTGAACTTTCGAAAATGTCTATTGCTCGATTGCCATGAATTTTTTGGTAGAAATACTTGGTAGAAATCCAAATGATGTCAAACGAACGCTCTTGAATTTTCACCGACACGAAGGTTTAATGTCGAAAATGTTTATGTTATATATATATATATATATGGAAGTTATATATATTTCGTAGATGTTGCCTTCGTGAGTCGCGCCTATAGGGGCGCACGCCGATTTTCGCGAAACGACTGTGATTCCATCTTCTTCTCTGGAGCGCACGAGTTTTCATGCGAAGCGAGGTCTATCCCACCCTTCCTCCCCTAGAAGTGCATAAAGATGAAATAGATCTTCTTGGAGGTCAACATCAAGGTCATTCGAAATAATTTGGAATGAGCTGTGTAAAGATAATCCATTCAGGCGGTATATAACTTTATTTAAACATTTTTGGCATTAAACCTTCTTATCAATGAAAATCTATTTAAGGGCGTTTATTAGACATCATTTGGAGTATTTCTGCCAAAATTCATGTAATCGAGCATTGGACGTTTTCAGAAGTTTATCCGAAATTTCACTTTAAAAGAGTGAAAATACAGTCGCTTTTGAAAGAGTGAAAATATTTTACTTCTTGAAAAAGAATGGCAGTATTTTACTCTTTTAAAGAGATTTATCTCAATGATAAATATTAAGTTTAGTTCCGTTACATCCAATCTTGAAATTAGTCTTATTCGACGTGTTTTTGAATGAAATGAATTTAATAAAAAAAAGCTCTGTCCCATGAAGCGAGATATTAATTAATATCGTTAAAGTTGACCGTTAGGCTAGGAAATCTGTCATTCACTGTGATCTCATTTCAAAAAAGGAGTGAAATGTTCCACTCGTTTTTTGGAGATTTTATTTTTTCAAGAATTTTAAATGACTATTAGAATGATTATTAGAAAAATTGTTATTATTATATAAATAAATTGTTATTATTTATCTAGTGACAAAGGATTCAATATATAAAGAGTTAGATTTTTTATTATCTTTATACTAAATACCGATATTTATATTTGAAATGTATTTTGTGCTTAAAATATATTTTTATAAAAG